AAGGTTGGGATCACTTCCACCTTATGATACGGCACGCGAGATTGATTTGACAGATGTAAGAGCTACAAAATATTTCAGCCACGGCAACATAGAATAAGATAAAAACAAAGCTAAAGTTATTGGATACAAGTTAGGAGATTTTGAGCTATTAAAAAATAAAGAGAGGCATCAAACGAACTTAAGCTCAAAGTTTAGAGAGCCCTTTAAAATAGCTGAACTGTTATACGGCGATAGATTTATGCTCAGGTCATTACGAATAAGAGAAAATACAAGTATGCACACGATGATATAGGAAAACTGGCAGATAGGCATGTACCAGCTGAGTTGGAAAGTTGTGATAGTGATTTAAATGAAACGATTGAATTAGAAACTGTTTAAAAAACCAGTAAAGAGAACAACAGTGAGGGTGAAGCTGTTGAAAGACACAGCACAGCTGCCTGAAAGGCATTTCGCATCACCTTTTATGCTGCGTCTGTTTTGTGTCCATTTTTGTCACTTTGCTAAGATCCATTACGCTGTACCCAAGTGTGGTTCGGTGGTATATGAAGGGAAATAGTAGAATGTTGAAGATAGAAGCTTCTTAAGTCGCCTAGCACATGCATCCAAACTAGCTGCGCTCTATACATCTACGCAATGGAAGATAATACTCAGACTTCGTCATTTATATACATATTATAACATATATGTTGATTGTATTTTATTCAAGTTTTCTTTTATTCTCTCATTTAATTTAAATTGGTAAAATTTTTTGTGAAGATATGTATGGATGCAACCGGCATTGTGTGCGACCCAATAAAGTATAAATATTTTTCATTATTAAGAGCCGAGTCGATCTACCCATGCCCGTCTGTTATGTGAAATCACGTCGATCTGATATACTAGGGAGTCAAACTTATGAAACACGCAGATCAAGCTTATTTAATCGACCCAAAAAATAAATATTAAAGAAACGAGAAGTTAAGGATATCTTCGGCACACCGAAGATTAAATACATTCATAGAAATTTACCTTTTTCAGGTATGTGAGAATAGTATGACAGGTAAATGATATAGTGTATCAATGTTGCTAAGAGTTTACATAGACATATGTAGGGAGCATAGAGAAAATTTTAAATATAGTTTTGACATATGTACTGCATGCAACAGAGAGACTGACTTATGCAAAATTTCAAGACAATAGTTTATAATATATACATTAAAATATATAAAACTTATAATACCCTCTGCAAGGGTATAATAATTACACACTGCCGCTGCATACGCTCAGCATCTAGTGGCGTACGTCCTTCTGGACTCAATAAATCCCCCTCTCGGGCACTCCAGAGAGCTCTTACTTGCTAATAATTACCATTGATTAAAATCCTATAAGTTCAGTAATTTTAAAAACATGGAGAATCTAGATAATACGCTGAGAAAACTGGTATAACTCAGATTTTAAACGGCTATTCTGGTTGGATACATTTTTAAAGTACCAAAATTGGCAATATAATAAAACTCTTGACGGGGATTTAAAAAAAAAAAACCAACTTTCTGTTTCGAATTAAAGCCCAGTTTTTAGTCTTCTTAATAAAATTATAATTATACCATAAATTATATAAATATATAAATTAACTATACCTTCTCTCAATAGTAAATTTTTCAAATAAGAAACATTCCTTTGATGTAAACTTCGTAACTGTCGCCCTTCTTCTGAGGCTAGTATGTTTATTGCTTCTAGTGCACCACATACTACAGTTGGTGGCAATGATGTGGTAAATATAAAACCAGCCGCATAAGATCGCACCATATCAATAAGGGCAGAAGACCCAGCTATGTAGCCACCTATGTTGCCAAACGCCTTTCCTAAAGTTCCAGATATTATATCCATTTTAGATAACACACCGTCACGTTCTCCGACTCCAGCCCCATGATCACCATACAGTCCAACCGCATGAACTTCATCAATAAATGTAATAGCCCCGTATTCATGTGCAATATCGAGCAGTTCTTCTAGTGGGCATATAGCACCGGTCATTGAATGCACAGTCTCAAATGCGACAATTTTCGGTGTCACCTTGTCAACTTGCTGAAGAAGAACACGCAAATGATTGACGTCATTATGGCGAAAGATGTGTTTTCGAACGCCACTGTTTCGTATGCCTTGAATCATAGAAGCGTGGTTACCAGAGTCCGAAAATATATGACAGTTAGGCAACAGTTTAGCAAGTGTAAATAACGTTGAATCATTGGCTACAAAGCAAGAGGTAAACAAGAGTGCGGCCTCCTTTTGATGGAGATCTGCTAGCTTTCTTTCAAGACGCTCGTGATGCAACGAATTACCAGCTATGTTACGCGTTCCCCCGGCACCAGATCCATGAATATCCAACGCTTCCTTTACAGCATTTTTCACATTTGGATGAGCAGACATCCCTAAGTAATCATTTGCGCACCAAACGGTAATTGGACGCTCCGATTGAGAGGAATATTCGAGTGCATGTGGAAATAATCCATCACCAGCTAAGCGATTCACTCGTTTAAAAACACGATATGAGTGATCTTTTTTTTTTTTTAAAATCTGCTCGTTGAAGAATTTTTCGTAAGGAAAAGTTGAGTTTTCCTTAGCAGTGTCAATTGCATTGTCATTGTCACTCCTTACATCATAGTCTGCAAGACTAGTATCAACCGAATAGCTTTTTGTAGAGTATGACCTTGTGGACTTCACTGAAAAAGGTAATGACGACAATGGGGAAAGTTTTTTTTCATTAGTCGTATGAATGGTTTTGCTTATAACTGGGCAGAAAATTCCATAAGACTGGTACAGTATATCAGCGTAATTGCGTAGATAATTTGCACCGAAACGGTTTAGGAACGGACACTGCATGATTTAACAAATATTAAATTTAATAGTATTCAATGGACTTTGACGCGTTTCAATTATGCAAGATAAAGTTTTGAGAAAACTAGGGATGTCCTAATATTCGATGTATCGATTATGTAGGTACACCAAAATAGATATTTGTTTAGGTCCAAATAAGTTGAATTATTTGATAAATCCACGTAGTTTTGTACAAGGCACTGTTTCTGGCGGCGGATATAATTCTACTATTAAGAAATAAGGGACATTGAAGTACATATATTGCAGACATATGAATATTTTCAATTCAATTTTCAAGATAAGCGTTTAGTAGTACATTTATAATGTTGTGTTGTATCGAATATACATGTGTCTAGATAGCGTCGGCCAGAAAGCGTCTTTTGGCACCTGTTGCCAGAATAGGAATAACGCATTTATCAATGCATATAGATGTGTCTTTGAGCACATCAGAATATTATATATTGTTACAAGCGGTATAATGGGGCTAAAGACAAACATTTTAATAAATCAAAAAATTTAAACCAAAAAAAATTATCACCATTTAAATTGTAATGTCAAATTGTACAAAATGTAAATATCTAAGGTAAGCTTTTATTATGGACAAACCAAGGGTTAGAAACTTAGGTTTATACCATTATTTTAAAACACTAAATCAGGGCTTTCATGCCAGAAAACACAATGTTGATAACTTGATGTCGGTTTTCAGAATGAATTAATCATAGCTTACAATTCCAACTTATTAAGTTATTAAGGGCTAACATGCTCGATGCATGAGCAAATATGTTTACATTAAAGGCTATAAGGTATTTGTGCATATGTATGAAACAGACAGAATGAAGCTTCTCCAACCCAATAAAGTGTAGATATTCTTGATCAGCATCAATAGCCGATATAACCATGTCCGTCTGTCTATCCATGGTACGTATTAGTTTCCGACAATCGATAACTTTCCCCGTTTCCAAGAAATCTCTAAAATTCGATATTGACATCTTGTTTTTTGGGCAAATTTGATAAACATTATGAGCTTCAGTCACCAAATTTGACATGAAGCTTCTAGAATAGTATATATATCAAGTATCTTTCATAATGTACATAGCTAATGCCGATTCTTCGCTACGACCAACATAGCTATATATAAACTAAGCAAACCAATTTGTATTCCCCACCAATTAAGTCCACAGTTTGTATGTAGTTGACTTTTTGAGAATATACAAATCATTAAGATCAACACAGAAGTTAATAAAGTTATTATTATATGCCCATTCATATACATATTCATACCTTAATTCAGCCATTGGAGCGAAAAATATGAAATTTTCTTTCACAGGAGAATAGGACATCGTTCCGGTACTACTATTTAACACTCGAGTGAGAAGTGTGCGTCTAGAAATTCTTGCATTGTACCCAGAAAAAAAATTCACCAAATATTGGGATCGTTTATGAGCCATACTGCAGTCACGGTGAATAACCATTGTTGTATATTTTGATGAAATAAAAATCAATTATAAGCCTAACATCGAACCAACAAGTCGAAAAAAGCGTTTCTGCACCATAGTAAATTGTAATTATAGTAAATCATCAGGTTGATATTCGTATTATATTTTGCAGATATTAGCGAGTACGTCGAAAATGATGTCATTATTTTCGACCCTGAAATTTTTGTCAGCAGCGTCGGAAATGTGGAGCCTCCTCCTGCAAACCGCTGACCACCAATCCAAGCCGGTCAGCATTGCCCGTGAACGTCTTGAAATTGCACGTGAAATGGAAAAATGCCAACAGGAGTACTAGCAAGCGCGAAGGAACACGCTGCAGGAAATAACGATAAGGGCTGCAAATTTTCAGGTACAGTGATTGCATTTCTTCGAAATGCAAATAATTAATATTATAAATGTTTATATTTAAATAAAAAAAGCCATTGTGGCTTTAAATATGAAATAGTCCTAAAAATGGCAATTTTTCATTTGACAATTTCACATCTTCAATAAATTTCATTCGTTCCCCGAAAATGTACTCAGTGTGCATTGGTTTATTGTAGTAAAAACACAGTATTTATGTCTTTCTTTTAAAATTGGTAACGAGAGTAACTAGTTACTTTTACATACTTTGCTTGTAACGGTATAGCAAGGTTTTCTCTTCCCTTGACATTGCCATCTCTTTGAGAAGGATTATATGTACCTTGAATTATTCGTTTTAAGAATTAAAAATGATAAAAGCTATACTAGTATTTAACAATCATGGGAAGCCTCGGTTATCAAAATTTTATCAATATTTTGTACGTAAAACTGGTGGAAATATTGCTTTAAATTAAAGAATGCATATTTATGAATTGAAGAAGACAAAAGCCTACATATGAGTCTGTAAAATTATTTCTGTCGGACAACTCCAAGCACAAAAAATATGATGCTGGTTTTTTCAGTTTGTTTTCATTACAAAAACAAAATTTTCAAATAATTTATATATAAATGAGATGTATTCTTTGACCCAGAATCAAATGTACTGAAGCTTAGTAAATTTCCGAATGAGACTCATATGTACAATAACTATGACAAAACTATATGCAATATATATATACATATATATACAATCAATTTACTAATTTAAATTTTTTAATAGGATGAAAACCTTCAACAACAAATCATTAAAGAGACGTTCCAATTAGTATCAAAGCGGGACGATAACGTTTGCAATTTCCTGGAAGGCGGCAGGTAATCTTATGCATATATGAATCCGAGGTTAACACCCACAAACTTAATATGCAGAGGTCATAGGTTGATTTTTTCTGTAAATTTGTGTTTGAAATGAAATGAACAAACTATAACCGGCGTGTGTTTGGTAGATAATATGTAATTGATATGTTTTTAATAGTAACAAGACAGAGGGATTTTGGATCAAAAATAACATTTATAAAGTTTAAGCCTTGTCCGTTGGTTTATGCACAGACCTGTGTAACATACGAAAGGGCCAAAACTTTCATAAACCTTTGAATTGTATGTGAATTTTAAAAAGATAGACTTAGTAAAGTATATATTGCCACATATTCATGCATATAAATATTACATTTTCGTGCCTTAGCTTGATAGGCGGCTCAGATTACAAGCTAATATACCGCCATTATGCAACACTGTACTTTGTATTTTGTGTTGACTCCTCGGAGAGTGAGCTTGGTATACTTGATTTGATACAAGTATTCGTCGAAACCTTGGATAAGTGTTTCGAAAACGTGTGTGAGCTGGATTTAATATTTCATGCTGATGCCGTTCATCATATTCTGTCAGAGCTGGTTATGGGCGGAATGGTACTACAAACTAATATGAACGATATAATAACCAGGATTGAAGACCAAAATAGGTTGATTAAACAAGAATCAGGAATATCTGCAGCACCAGCTCGTGCTGTAAGCGTTGTAAAAAGCATGAACATTCCACAACAAATTAAGGACATGAAACTGCCAGATTTACCACAGGCTATAAAGGACCTAAAATTTTGATATGATAAATGTAAGTTACTTAGATTTTCTGTGATTTAAGTAAAAATTCTCGTTTTAACAGAAACACATGGTCCGATCTCCGCTGCAACTGTTATTATTAAATAGGTAATTTTAAGTACTAAAGATAGTATCTGAATTTAATATTGTACATGTAAAATTGAGTAAAACACTCTTTATTTTATATTTAAGTATTGTTATTCATTTTCAATTAATGTTAATGAATGGCCTTGAAGAATGTTAATATATCCAGGTTTGGATATATTAGGCCCGTATTAAGTTGGGGTGCGAGTGTGAATTAATGCTACCAGCTACCAGACCAGTCCAATCGACTTTTTGACGTCGATTCTATAGTTTAAAAAATGGAACGCAATTTTCCTTTTCTTAGTCTTCGGTAAAGTTTGCAAATGAAAATGCAAATACTAATTCAGACATAACCGCTCTGTTTGAAGGCTTTGTTTTTAAGGCTTAGCTTTGAGGTGCACTTGGAAATGGGTCATTAGCAAGTATGCAAGCAAAGACAATATTAACACTAAGATGATACAAAATATAAAATAAGATGATACAAATCCAAAGTCATCAGGCTTTTCGCCCACCAATGCTAGACGATGGCGACACAGACGTTACGTTTTTAAAGTACTTTAAACGAAAAAGTTTTGAGTCGAACGAAGCTTAGTAATTTTTTTTGATCCGTGGTATTCAAGTTCTATATGAATGATATTTACCTTACATACTATAGCTTGATTGTAAAGACAATTTTGCAAATATTTAATTTTTATCACGTAATAATAATGAACAATAATTATCTTCATACCATAGTCCACGTAAATTGCCTACTTTTATTTTTGCACAGCTTACGCTGGAGAGAAGTTATTGTCGCAGTCAATGGCGAACAAGAACCTATGTATTGAAGTGAAAATTTTGCATGCATGAGTACCAAAAAAGAAAAAAAAATATATATATATATTATTCACTGAAGTGGCTTTTGCAGCCGTAAAATTAATTTTGTTAGTTTTCTGTATTCTGCATTCACAAATGTAAGTTGTGTATTGAGGTTGGCTGCAGGAGTCTCGTTTGGAGCAAATTTACACATTTTTGAAAAATGTGTAAAATGTGTTTTGTCATGGGAAAACTTACAGGTCGCATTTTACACATTTTGCAACAATGTGACATATTCAAAAATGTATAATAAATGTGGGCAGTGGACGAGGCTATTACATTCACCGAGACACGCGTATAATTAAACACATTTTTAAATTTTTAACTTATATGTTATACATATATAAACTTGTGCCGAACAATAAAAATCTTAAGTGGTCTAACGAAAATTGAAAAATACTAAGATAAAAACAACAAGAAAGACGTTTTAGTCGGGAGCTCCCGTCTAGGGAATACCCTGAACCCTCTTATTCCAACACCAAATGCAGTTCATGCAACGCGCTCGTTTGAAGTAATAAAGATAAATTAAAAAAAAAAGGTGCCTTGGCAGGGTTCGAAGTCGCAACTGACCGCATTACTTGCTGACGACTCTAGTCAACAGCTACATCAGCCAAAAAATAGCTTCCCCGGTAGGGCTGCAACTTGCGACAGACCGCACCACTTGCTATGCCTCTACTCAACAGCCACACCACTTTTTGACTATTATTGAAAAAAACGAATTAAAATAGCAGCACAGAAAACAATACAATCGCAATTGCTATGCTGGTAATAGAATTTGAAGCAGTCGCGCTAGCTTCCCCATCCAATTGCGCAGTAAAACACACAACTTTTTGGTTATTCTTAACCGATCTTAAATTGAAATTGAAATTTTATACAATATATCTTATTGCACCATAGAATATTGGAAAACGGAGTAAATTATCGATTATCGGAAACAAACCCGATCTGCGCAGGCACTAGGAGGACCTGCATCTAAAATTTCTCTAGCTCTTATAGGTTTTAAGATCTGACGGACGGACAGACAGACGGACATGGCTAGATCGACTCGGCTATTGACGCTGATCTAGAATATATATATTCATTAAGGGGTCGGAGATGCTTCCTTCTGCCTGTTACATATATTTGCATTTTGCACAAATACAATATACCATTTTTTCTCATTTTTAATGGGTTCAGAGAATTAAAATGAACGGGGTTTCATTTTCTCCGGCGCAGAACCAGGGGGACTGACTCAAGAAGCAGGATTGGTCGACACGACAGCGACGTTAAACCACCACAGACTAATGGCAGAGGCCGGAGAGTCGAAATAGAAAGCCTTACATTATTATTCGTTTTCTTTTTCTGCAGAATATGATGCAATTAGATTAGGTTTCCTTTTTTACAATTAGAAAAAAAAGTCAATTACTTAAAGCAGGCATGAAGTGACCGAAAAGTTGTTGCCACTACCAAGAATATATAAAATTTAAACTTTAAATACATGCACGAATGATACACGCTTACATATGAACATATTTCCATAAAAGATAATCCATATCCCCCTTATCGCCCACCAGAGAGCATGTTACAAAAATATAAAAATATGTATTTTTATGTCGATGCAAATATTTATATAATTTCTTTAAATTAAATTAATATTATTTTTGTTCCCCCATTAAGACCATTTGTACTTTTTAATAAAAAAAAAAAATTTTAATTAAAAAAAAAAAAACAATTGAAAAATGTATCTTTAAAAAGCACAAATTTGCACTTTTATTTCTGAATATAATTTGTACTACTTAAAAATAATAATAATTAAATTTAAAGAACTTAGATATTTTCTACGGAGCCAACTTCAGTACAAAACATGCATTCATATAAGGTAATTCCAAGGTTTATTAAACGATGAAAAAAATATAATTTTTATGGAAGCAAGTCTTCCTTTATTTTATGTTAATTTGCAACTACATAAACTTAAATCAATTCTAGCCCTAATAACCTGTGGCTTAGCGGCAGCGGTGTCGCTGCTGATGTGTTTGGCCCGTTGGGCAAATCTTCTTGGAATTTTCGGCGGTTGCCAATCGGCGCGTAGAGGAAATGGCACAGACACCAAGTCAGCATTTTGCTGCACTTCTTATGAGGTGTTGCAATGCTTCTTATTGGGACTGTATGAATTTATTTCTCTTCCCTTTTGATTTCACCTTGTCCTCAAGCGATCATCAGAAGAAGGGTATGTTGTTGAACCTGAGGTTGTTGGCATCTGAATTTTGTGTTTGGATATGCGTTGGTTCATTTTTGGGTCTCTCTTGTTCTTTGTTCAGTTGCAGTATTATATTTTACTTTTTCTCTTCAATACGTGTAATACACAGGTAAGAAGAATGGCAACTGTGAACAGAATTATGAAACCGACTCTATTTACTATAGAGTGCGTTTGAAGTTTTTGCATGTTTTTTATGTTGTTGATGTGCAATTCTTCCAATGCTTTTAGAGAAAGAATCTTATTTCTTTCGTTTTCGTGGGATTTCCTGGGCCCATGACTGTGACTTCTGAGTTGCGGAACTCTTGTTTGTTGATGAATAAGGTTTCGTTCCAGAAGTTAATCTCACGCGTTTCCCCTCTTCTTGCCATCTAATAGTGCCGTTGAAGTCGTTAACTAGTATAACTCCATCGTCGATTTCTTCGATCTGCATCTGCATTGCTAAAGCCGCAGAGCGCTTGCTCCCCACTAACTAACCCAGGTATACAATTAAATTGTGACTTGAACTGTCTGCACTGTGCTGGGTGGAAGCTACTGATCCAATATTATTGATCACAGGGATTCGTTATAGCGCGTCGGCTACAAGATTATCCCTACCTGGCTCATAGAGGAGTTAGTAGTCGAACTCTTCTAGGTAAGCTTTCCACCTTTTTATTCTTGCGTTGCCGTTCCAACTGCTAAGAGAGTGGGTTAAGGGTTGATGGTCGGTGTATATTTTTACACTCGCTTTACCGTAGAGGTAATACTTGAGGGCTTTTGGGGCCCAAATTATTGCCACCATTTTCCTTTCAATGGTGGCGTAGTCCTCTGTTTTTGAGAGAATTCGAGAGAGAAAACAAATGGGTCGCTTGTTCTGGGATAGAACAGCCCCAATAGCAAAGTTGGATGCATCTGTTGTCAGATGAAATTCTTTGCTGAAGTCCGGGTAATGGAGTATTACCTCATTCGTTTTTATTTTATTAAATGATTCGATTGCTTCTTCGTTGGGATTAATGAGCTTTTTAGCTGATTGATTTTTGGACACATGTCCATCTTCCCCTCTTAAAAGAGAGGTAAGGGGCTTTAGCAACTTAGCGAAGTCTTTTATAAACCACCTGTAATAGCAGGAAAGGCTAATAAACGATCTTAAATCTTTGAGTGTTTTTGGAAGTGGGTACTTTCCTATTGTCTTAATTTTGTTTGGATTGGTTTCTATGCCCTTGTCTTAGATGATAAATCCCAGAAATTCTACTCTGCTTTTAAAGAACTCGCATTTGTCCAACTGACATTTCATGTTGACTTTCTGTAGAGTTCTGAATATGGTGCCAAGGTGCTGCGCATGCGATTCAACATCTTTGCTAAAGATAATGATATCGTCAATATAAATGAAGCATATTTTTACAATATGCTCACGAAGGATATCGTCAAGAGCTCTCTGGAAAATTGAGGGTGCATTCTTGAGACCGAATGGGAGTCGTGTAAACTCGTATTTTCCGTTGTTAACGGAGACGGCAGTTTTTTCTATGTCTGACTCTATAAGGGGTATTTGATGAAATCCACTTTTCAAATCTAAGACAGAGAATACTCTATTATAATCTAGCTGTGCTAATACCTCGTTAATTTCGGGTATGGGGTATTTGTCTGCGGTAGTTTTTTATTTAGTTTCCTGTAGTCTATGACCATGCGATATTCCTTTTGCCCGGAGGCATTTAATTTTTTCGGAACAATCCACACAGGTGAATTGTATGGGGATCGGGAAGGTCGGATGGTTCCGTCCTCTAAAAGTTCTTTAATTTGGTTGTGTACTACGTCTTTTAAAGACATTGGAAATTGGTAAAATTTTGAATATATGAGGGAGTCAGTTTTTGTTCGAATTTCTGCTCTGACGTTGGTTGTGCATGCCAGTTTTTCGTCCGGATTGGCGAATAGACTTGGGTGCATTTTAACTAGTTGATTTAGACTATTTATTTGTTCGTTTGTCATGTGTTCTGTTCGTGGTATTACCGTGTTGACGGCCTCGATTTTTTTCTGCTTAATGGGTATGCAAATATTGTTCTTGATTATAAGTAGATTCTTGCTGCTTTGGATCACAGCAGCTAATTCCTTCAGTCTATCGTTAAATAATATAGCATAGAATGATTTTAAGGTGAGTAATAGAAAGAATTTTATTTTTATATCGTTTCTATTGAAAAGATTAGCGAACTTGTGGTGTGTAATTTTAATGCTTCCGCCGACTGACGGCTTTGAAGGTCTCTTCATTTGGGATAGGTTCGGACACGAATTTGGGTTGGACGTAATTTCGATTTGATCCTGTATCTATTAATATTTTGAGTAACTTTCCGCTGCCCATCTTTCATTCTATGTAAGGAAGAGAGGAGCTCTTTATCCTAAAAAATTGATGTCTGAATGTTCGTGTTGGGTATTTTGTCCGTTATCTGTTCCTTCAATTTGTTGTGTGTATTCATTTGGCTGCTCATATTCAGTCGACTGTTCGTAATTAAGCATTGATTATACGTATTCTTCCATGGTCACACAGTTGTCAGTGTTTTCTGTCTTGGTCTGTTCTTCTCCTGTTTGTATGTTGAAATTTCTTTGTTTTTTGTCCGTGGCGTTTGTTGGTGGTGGAGGTCTTTTCCCTACTTGAAAATTGGGTCTGTTTATGTAATTTATCATTCTTGTGCGGATGCCGTGGACCACGTCCATTGGCTCAGGACGTGGTTGGGGTTTTGGTGCAGAAGATCTATTAGGTACGTATACCTGTTGTGGTTGTGTCTGGTAGGTTCGTTGGTTGGCGTATTGTGGAATCGGTCATTTATTGTTATAAGTCGGTGGTCCATAGTTTGTATTGGTAGGCCAATGTGTATGAATCGGGAGTTGGTGCCTGAAGCTAATAGGTGGTGGCCTTAAAGTTTGGGCGAAAGAAGGCTGAGCTTTTCGGGGTGGCAGTATAGGTGGTGGTACATTTCTATTTGGCTTTCTGGCATGTGTCTGTTGATTCCTATTCAAAGCCATGTTAGTGCTACAGCTTTGATTCTCTAGTTTTAAACAATAGTGAAGGGCTGAAGGTAGATCTGCTGGCTCCTTTATTCCAAGAATTCGTGGTAAATCTCCCTTCAAACCTCTAATGAAGGTTTCTAATGCTTTATCTCGGTATATTTTTGTCATAAGGGTTTCGAATTCCCTATTTAATACCATGCACTA